TTTTATTTTATTTTATTTTATTTTATTTTATTTTATTTTATTTTATTTTATTTTATTTTATTTTATTTTATTTTATTATTTTATTTTATTTATTTCATTTCATTTTATTTCATTTCATTTCATTTCACCGACGTAACAAGGACCAGCCATTTCTGAAAAGTCCAACTTAGCTTAATCAAAGGAAGCCAAGATTTCCTTCTTTTTCCCTGCCCCAAGCACAAAGCCCAGAAATGGTTTCCAAGCAGAACTTAAGCCATATTTATTCTTTTCTTTCTAGTTCGGCCGATGTTGCCACCTCTGCGAGTCCCATCCCCTTCCCTCATCCATGCCTCTGTTCTAGGGATTGGTGGAGATGCTTGGCCTGATTCTTATGAGCCTCACATCTGCACGGCGTTGCTCGGATTCCACAGTGGCAACCTTGCTAACTTATTCATTAGGTGCTTGATTGGCAGTGCCGGCTCAGGATAAATTTGTCTGCCAGACGCCGCAACGGGCTAAACGTGGAGCCGGTTAATGGCAGGCCTGACACCTCTACCCTGGTCCTTCAGCCATCCATCCATCCATTCAGAAACCTTTTAATTTTATTTATCTGCCATTCAGCCTTGCCTCTATTTCTCCCTCCCTGCAGTCTTTGATTGATTGGGAAAAAAAATAGCTTAAAAGGGGGAGGGAGATCTTGGCCGATTAGGGATGGAAGACGAAGGCTGAAAAGGCAGGGAGAAGCGATTGGCTCCTTTCAACAAACGGGGATTATTAACCGGGTTAGAGTTATCCCAAGATGTGGTCTGGACTCGAGAGAGGGCTAGGCGGTTATTGTTCCCGCACGAATCGTGGGAATGAATCCGGTTTGGTGTGAAAGGTTGATGGATGCCCTAAGTCTACTTGGGGAGTAGACTAAGGGACATGGTGGCTCAGTGGCTAAGATGCTGAGAAGAAGAAGAAGAGGAGGAGGAGGAGGAGGAGGAGGAGGAGAAAGAAGTGGAAGAGGAAGAATAAGAGGAATAAGAAAAGGAGAAGGAGGAGAAGAAGAGGAATAAGAAGAAGTGGAAGAGGAAGAAGAAGAAGAGGAGGAGGAGAAAGAAGTGGAAGAGAAAGAAGAAGAGGAGGAGGAGGAAGAAGTGGGAGAGGAAGAATAAGAGGCAGAAGAAAAGGAGGAGGAGGAGGAGAAGAAGAGGAATAAGAAGAAGTGGAAGAGGAA